GTGTGTGTGTGTGTGTGTGAGAGAGAGAGAGAGAGAGAGAGAGAGAGAGAGAGAGAGAGAGAGAGAGAGAGAGAGAGAAAGCGACAGAGAGAGAGGCATGGAAGACGGGGTGGAACAAACTCCGAGGATGTCGAAGTCGGCGTGTCGCAGCAGAAGGCGAACGAACTCCACGGCGGTGGATTGCAGATGCAAGGGCGATGCGGAGTGCAGCCCTGCTTTTTTGGCGGCGGAGTGGAAAAGTACAGAGTTCGAATTCGAATTCTTGGCGCCTCCCTGTTCAATGGCATCTCACAAAGATGCATGCCCCGCAGGAGGGCAAATCGGACAGGCACCACGGGAAATGGGCTAGCAGGTCCGGTAGGGGCATTCCAAAAAGTTGGGCCCCTGACTGACAGGGGCCTGCACGAAAGTTCAGAGGCCCCAGGGGCAAATCAGGAAAAACCGGCTGTCCGAGGGCAAATCGCAAATAAACGGAAAATTCAGGGGCATTTTGCAAATTTTCCTCAACATGCTACCCTTTCAAGAGAAACAGCAAACTGCAAGGAAAAAAAGGGATAATAACAACAACACGACAAGCTTTTCAATCGAGATTGGACTATACTGTGGTTGTTTCAACACTTCTGTTAGTCTCACGCCACGGCTTAATAAATATTGAGTGGCAGGATCAAGATCTGAGCCAAATTGGGCAAAAGAAGCTACTTCACAATATTGTGCAAGTCCTAGTTTAAGACTCCGGCACACTTGTTTCATAGCTTTCAATTGAGCTGCAGAACCTACACGACTTACAGGCAATCCTATTTGCAAAATACCCCCATAAGTAGAGATATATGTCAAAATGCCCCTAAACGATGTGAATAGAGTGGAATGCCCCTCCAACAACAAAAAAAAAAGAGTGAAGTACCCCTGGCATTGGTTGGATCCCCCATCTTTGCAAAATACCCCTAATGGATACCATCCAACTTTGCAAAATGTGCCAGTACTTGGCCTCGCGGTGGCATTGGAACCCCCATAGTTTCAAGCCCGATTGCAAAATGCCCAGGCCCACACGGCGAGGTCCAGACTGCAGATTCGCACACACGCCTGACAGGGGCATAACACAAAGAATTGGGTCCAAAAGGGCATTCCACTCTACCCACGGGCATTTTGGCATAGAACTTATGGGGGGGTTCTGCAAACTACCCCGCAAAAAACAAAGAACAAAAAAGGAGAAGGAAAGAAAAAGAAACAGCAGAATGGAGAACTCCCTCTGATTTAGAAATCCTTTGTGGGGGGGGGGGGAGCACGGGGGGCAGGAAATCCTCCTTTCCTTGCTTCCTTCCCTTCCCTAATTTCGGTATTTCTCCTTTCCCTCCCTCCCTCCCTCAATCAATCAACACTGCAACTATATATTTCCCACCCCCCCTTCTTTCCCACCGTCCCCCCCTCTCCTCCTCCTCCTCCCCCTCTTCCCCCTCTGCCCCTTTGAGGGCTAAAGCGAGTTCCTCGAGTATTCTCTTCACATTCACCTCCCACTCCAACGAATATCATGGAAAAAGACAAAGAAATCCTGACAGAAAAAAAGCCAAGTCAAACACAAAGAAACACAGAGGGAAAAAGCAAACAGAGAGAAAGACAGCGAGAGGAGGGAAGAGAGGG